TATGTATTCTCTAGTTCAAGTTAACACAAATGAAGCAACCAGAATTACAAATGCTTCTGCTACATTGATTGATCATCTCTTAACGAATAACTCCCCAAACGTAAAGAGTTATGGAGTACTTCATAATGGAATGAGTGACCATTCTATTAGTTTTTTAATTTGGAATGCCAATGTTTCATCACACCCCAGATTTATTAACTTTAGAAGTTGCAGCAAACTTAATGGTAATGAGTTTAGAAATGATATTCGCAACCAGAAATGGGAGTATATAAATCAGTGCAATTCAATTGATGAAGCTGTTGAATTATGGCAAAATCTGTTGTTACAAGTTGTTGACAAACACATGCCATATCGTTCAAAAAGAATAAGTACTAGGGGCTCTCCGTGGATGAATGCAAGTATTTATAAACTCATGAAAAAGCGTGACAAACTGAAACGGAGAGCGTGTAAACTTAAAGATGAAAAACTCATGTGTGAATATAGAGTACTACGTAATAAAGTTACTACTGATGTAAGAAAAGCAAAGAGAAAATACTACTCTGATAAATTCTCACTTTCTAGTGCTAATCCAAAACAGACTTGGAAGACATTAAAATCTATCATTCCAAATAAGAAACGTGACACGCCAATAGTTGCGCTTAATTCAGAAAGTAATGTTGATACTGCTAATCTTTTCAATACCTTCTTTGCTGAAGTAGGAAGTAATTTAGCAAAAGAAATTCCTGATACGCCTCTCCCTATAGAAAACAATATACCATTAATCAAGAGTTTTGAGTTTACCCTTGTAACCGAAAATGATGTGTTGGGAGTTATAAACAAATTGAAAAATACTAAATCTGTAGGTGTAGATAAAATATCAGTTTTTGTTTTAAAAGCATGTGCTACCGAGATTTCACAGAGTATTGCTAACCTGATCAACCGCTCTTTGTTGAGCGGTAAATTTCCTCAACAATGGAAAAGGTCCAAGATTATCCCAATTCACAAAAGTGGCGATAAGAGCTCTCCTTCAAATTATCGGCCCATCTCAATTTTGCCCTGCGTATCTAAAATACTGGAACGGGTTGTCCAAAGACAAGTTTTGGAGTTTCTACATGAGAACAATATCTTGTCAGCCGCCCAATCTGGATTCAGGCCACGTCACTCAACTATTACCACTCTCCTAAAAGTAACTGATGACTGGCTTCACGCAACTGATAAGAAAGAGTATACGGGGGTTGTATTTGTGGACTTAAGAAAGGCCTTCGATACCGTGAATTGTGATATTCTTATTAAGAAACTCAATAACATAGGAATTTCTGGCACTCCATGTACATGGTTTAAAAGCTACATGTCAGACAGAGTCAGTAGGACACTTATTAATGCAGAGCTTTCTTTCGAATCAGTTATTGAGTGTGGTGTGCCCCAAGGTTCCCTTCTAGGGCCACTGCTCTTCATCGTATATATAAATGATTTAGTAAAATGTATAAAAACCTGTCAAGTTCAGTTGTATGCTGATGATACTGTTTTATACTTCTCACATCCTTCTATAGATAGAATTGAATTAGCTTTGAACTCAGACCTAGAAAATATGTATTACTGGATGTGCCAAAACAAATTAAGTGTCAACTGTCAAAAAACAGTTTGTATGCTCATTGGAAGCAACCACATGATATCTAAAAAGAATGTCCTCCGAGTTTCATTGAATGACATCTCCATAGATCAAGTTCATCATGTCAAGTACCTTGGCGTCTTAGTTGATGAAAAGTTAAACTGGAATTTACATATAGACAATATGTTGAAGAAAATTGGTCAAATGGTAGGCTTTCTAGGAAGACTAAGGCGATTTCTAAGTGAATCGGTACTGAAATTAATATATAGCTCACTGATCCTTCCGTATTTTGATTATGGTGATGTTATTTACAGTGCAGCTTTCAGGAAATATACAGATCGCCTTCAAAAATTGCAAAATAGGGCAGGCCGGATTATACTTAAAATAAAACCTGAATCTCATGTCTCTGTTTTGGAAATGCATAACGCTCTTAATTGGCAACTCTTGGACAAAAGAAGAAATCATCATTCCCTTGTTCTTATGTATAAAATAATGAATAATCTAACCCCCGAGTATTTAAGAAATGAATTTGAGTTGAGAACCCATTCCTACCCTTCCCGAATTGGAGCTCAAATAAAATTACCCAAACCGAGAACAAATTACCTCAAAAGATCATTCAAGTATAGAAACGCAAAGGCCTACAACACACTTCCTCCTCATATCAAATCGTCCCCTAGTGTTAATACATTCAATCTAAGATTGCAGAACTGTTACAGTAGCACATGGTCCCCCTCCTTATTTTGTTATGATTACTAGTTTTTTATGAATGTTTTTTTTTTTTTTTTTTTTTTAATCCCTTTATTTTATATTACTTCTTTTTGTTCTTTCTTCAAAATGTATTTACTGTTGTTCATATAATGTATTTATGTTTTGTTTTGTTTATGTAATTGTTCCGGACCCCACGGAAGACCAGCTTTCCCATGTCGGGTTAGCTGAATGTGGGCTATCCATCGTATTTTATGCATTTTTACTATGTTTTTTATACGAAAATAAATACTACTACTACTACTACTTTCCTTTTCTTTTTTTCTTTTCTTTCCCTTTCTCTCTCTTTTTTCCCCTCCCCCTTTTCTCTTTTTTTCCCGACGGCAGCGCAATTTTACCGACAATATCCTGACAAGTGGGGGGGGGGTCGCACCCCCCCCCCCCCCTTTGGCGACGCCCCTGGGATTGGGTTGTAAAGATCCTCTTTAAAAATGTTTATTTCCCCTCCCCTTCCCTCTGCCTCAATCTTTCATTACTATCTTCTGTCTTCCTTCATCTTTTTACCTATCCACCTATCTCTTTAAAAGGTTTCCTTAGTTGCTCTGTATTGGAAGATCAGAATAATGCCTTTTATTATAAGAATTATTTGGTTGATTATTGAATTAAATAGAACAGAAATTGTATTCACCACTTTCATAAAACATGCAAAGTCAAAGAATACAATAACATATTTCTTACAAACATAAATAAGCCCAACAAATGGAAAATACACTAAGAGCAAATTATTCTTTTCTGAATGATCAGTTTCATGCCTGTTCCAGAATATATATCTTCCTAAAAGATTATTCTCTCAATATAAGGTGTACAATTCGATGCTTTGTGCCATGAAGGAATTGGTCTCGAACATCAGATCTCCGTCAAGTTAGTAGATAAAATGAAATACATGTAGTAAACAAAATCTCATGAGAAAAGTGATCTGACAGAGAAAACACGAAAGGTTATGACCTAACGGAGAAATGATACCGAATCTATACGAATTAGATCATCGCAGGGGCAATATCTACGAAAGTCTTAACGAGGGAAAAGAAACCAATGCAATCATGGCAACTACTTTCCTTGTATATCTTCCCACAGCCGTACTCGTGTCATCGGATGCAAGCATGAATGAGACAAAGACTTGTTGTACGGACAGATTCGGCCTGAATAACACCTTACCAATGTTCTTCGAGTGTCAGAAGAAAGGACATCCCAATGGCAGTATGGTACAAACCATCCCAAAGCTTATCCCTAATTCATTCGGAGGAGGCGGTTGCCCCAGGAGGGAGAGTAAACTTGGTGTTCCTCCTGGACATCGAGTCTGCAGATTTCCGGGTGATTGTTTTCCTCTCTGGTTTTCTCTAAAATCCTTTGCAAAACCTTTCAACTTTTGTTTGGACTTTAAAGACCTTATCCGATATAAATGGAAAACTGAATTAATGTAAAATACAAATACAAAGAATAAAAAGTATTTACCCTTTTGTTATTGCACAAAAGCAAATTACAGGTCAACAGGGGTCAAATTTGCCGAAGTTACAGTGACGACATTAATGTGGACTCGACCGGTTCGCCTATAAAGTTGAGGCGAAGAGCCGTACTTAATTAATGCAAAGGCATTGTGAATATGAGCACTCCAAATAAGATGATGTCATCAAGTCGATAGCGAGTTTTTAGATCGACAACTTCCGATTTTCAAAGCTATAGATTTTGAGTCTTCAGAGGGTTGATACTCCTCTGGCAGACACTAAAATGGCATGTAATTGATAATATGGTAAGCTATGGCTCATAAGCTTTCCGTTGATATATAATTCATCCATTCATCTTTCAGTTCGGATATGGTTTTTAAGAAAAATAATGATTGTATCTAGCAATACATTAGTAGCTTTTAATAACATTTTTTTTTTTTGTCTCATTAAATAAGCCCGGAGTACTTCTAATATCAGGGATGCTTTTTTGTACTTCAATTACGTGTTCATTACATATGTTCGCAGATTGCGACATGAATCCATGTATAAATGGCTGGTGTGAGGAGACTATGACCGGATATAGATGTCACTGCCCTATCGGATATCAAGGAAAACAATGTCATGAACGTAAGGACTAAGAAGAAAAAAAATTGCATTTCATATCTTAAGGGTATAATGAAACCATCCAGCACGACAAGACAAGTAGTTTACTTTTCGTCATCATTTCTTTTGGTAAACGCGCACTTAATATATTGGACTTTTGAATGAAATGAACTTGAACGGAAAAATGAACGGATTAGATTTGGAACTTCAAAGATGTACATTAACCGATCTCGTAATGCTAGACTCGAACCTAGGAAAATACCAACCGTTACCGGCCTTATAGTCTCGTAACTGAACTGACCGCGGGTGGTCGTCGGTATGAGGCTGCAGGGTGAAATGTTTAGAAATGTATATCACTAATTTTTTCTCTAACTTTCCTGTTTATTCATTCATTTAACCAATGTTATCTATCAATCTTTAAACTAGTTGACACAAATCAGCCTTTAACGACCCAAGGGATTTTTGTTACCTGTGTGAAGGATATCACAGTAACCGTTGAGCTTGGTATTCCGAATATGTCGGTAGAGTTCACCTCACCATCGGCTGTCAATAGAGAAGGGACCGTCGTCCTGGTCTCTCAGAACTATAAATCGGGTGATGATTTCCAAGTCGGGTCAACTCTCGTTGAGTACATCTTTGCTGATGAGAGCGGAAACCTAGCACCTTTGTGTACCTTCAACGTCAACGTCAATACTGGTATAAAGTAGAGCATGTTTTGCAATTTGATATTTTACCCCCTCTGTTCATGATATTGTGTAAAGCAAGATACTTGGTATTAATGAGCACGCTCTTTTAACACTTTAATTTGAGAAAGATGAAGGGAGTTCTGGTCGATACATCCAAAATAACAATTAATTAAGTGACGATTCATCAACTCTACCGTTCAATTGAAGGTTTAAATAAAATGCTCATTCACTTTTGAGTCAGTTTGTCTGAGCCCATGATGGTTTGACTGGATAACAGACCATAAGACACAAAACTACATTCTTATTATATGTCTTGATATCACAGTCGATACCACCCCTCCAGAGGTACAATCCTGCCCTTCCAACCAGACATTCTCGGTTCTCAAAACCACCACACCAATCACTTGGACACCACCAACAGCCAGTGATGCGTCTGGAATTGCATTCATCGTCGCCAACTATGAACCTGGAGTTAATGTCTCCGTGAATAGCCCCATTAGCGTCATCTATACTGTGACCGACAACAGTGGCCTTGTAAACACAAACTGTTCTTTCAACATCACCCTCGTATCTGTAGGTATGTCATGTGTGATTTTTGTTTGATATTACCTCAAAGATAACTGTGCATATAGCCTACAAGTCCATACTCCTTGAATCCTATGCTCATAGAATTTGAGTAAAACGAAGTTGATAATACTTAATAGTCATCTGTCACTGTTCAATGATGAGTCGAGACGACGCCTTCGTAGAAAGAATATTCAACATGTACGATAGCAACTAGGCCTACTTCCGAAAAATCTACCTAAAGCGTTTTCAATTGCCTTGTGCGCCACTATTGAAATTGCAAACATGACAATGACGTATTACGTAATCGAAAAATGACTTACGAGCAGGGGCGTAAATCCCGGGGGATGGAGGGGGGGGCTGCATCCCCCTGGCTTGAAGTAGGGGGGTGGCCTGTACAATCATCCCCCCCCCCCCTGAGATTACAAAAAAAAGAGAGAAAAAAAAAAGGAAGAAGAAGAAGAAGAAGGAAAAAAATGTGATGGTTTCACTTTCAGCATAATGCATGAGAAATGAGTTTTTTTGTAATGTATGTATAACTGTATAGCCTACAGGTCGTATACAGTATGTCACGATCATTAAGAGTAGTTGCGCGACGTGCGCGAACAAGCACTTCATAAACTTCAGAATAATTTTTCGTTATTTTGCAAGGTATTATTATAGCCTAGACGTAAAGTGCGCCAGCCGTGCGAGCGCATAAAAAGTGCAATCATGTACAGTAGATGCCCGGCTCCCCCTCACCACTCAGTGTTATTTTGGGTACGAGTATGCTCGTTCCCTCCCTTTGAAAACACCCCCCCCCCCCACCCCTATCTCAGGACTGCCAACATTTCTGAATCCCCCTTTTGCCGGCTTTTCGCTGGCTTTTCCTGCCTTGGAGACCCCCCCCCCCCCCCCCCCCCCCCCCCCCATTTCAGGTGAGCTCTAGTCGATCGAGGGGGACTGGGGGCTGGGGGCCAACGTTTTTACTTGCGTAAATTAGTGTGGGTGCGCGTGTGCTCGTGCTAGTATGTGATGGCTATCGCCGATCATCCCCGCCACCCCTCGGTACGGATTTACGCCCCTGCTATTACGAGGGATATGCAATATGATTTTGAAATAGTTTCGATAATGTTTTGTGGTGTCATCTCATTAAATCATAGCCTTTGAGACCCATGAACACGTACTACCACCACCTAAATGATTACAGTTTTCTCCTCAGCTAGTATCGTCGCATGCTAAATAAAAGGCCTAAACAGTTATTACATTCTTATCAAGCTCCTTGGAGCAGAATATATGTAATTAGAACATCTAGATGCCTTCTTACTTTCCGTCGAATGTGATTCCATACCTAGGTAGTATAACGATTAATCTGATAGCATTACTTCACATTTACATTTTATCGGAGCTGAAGGTATGAATGATATGTAATTATTGTCATACCACTGCTAAGGTATCGCAAGACAAACAAAGATATGGCCGCTGTAGACAGGTGGCCTTAATTCCTAAACAGATACTGGGCTGCGTCTCACGAAACCGTCATAAGTACAAGTTCAGCGACATCCCGGCCCATTGAAATGCGTGTATTCAGTTTAACACGCGTTTCAATGGGATGTCGCTGAACTTGTACTTCAAAATCAAAATCAAAATACCATTTGATCTCGATTAGGGCTACCGAAATGCTTTAATATTCATTGGTTCTTCAGAGACAGAATGGGAATGTACGTCCTCGAAATGCTTTGGCAGTATTTTAAGGTGGCTAAATTGGCAGGACGCTCACGACTTCTGCCCGACTCTTGGACCGATAACCACGGCTGCAGGAGACAGGACACCATTCCTCCTATTTGCAGATACCGAAGAAGCGTCCCAGCTCCTCTTAATACTCTTGAAAAGGTATGGAGTATCAATTTTTCTATGGATCAACTGTAATGACATGGAAACCGAAGGGCTGTTCATGTGCGACGTGGATGGTAAGGGAGCTGTGCAGATTAACTCAACCGGTAAGTTTAATCTCGATAATTCAGCACAGTAAATTCAGCAAAATTCAGCAAAAAAAACTTGTAAGAATATGTTCAATGTCTCACTATACTGCTCATTCACAACCACTATTTAAAAAACTTAATCTTCTCACAATCTATCAATTGAATGACTACTGTATCTCATTAATGGTCTTTAAACATAAACATAACAAATTACCATATAATCTTCTCTCTATTATTAAATGTAAAACAGAAATGCATAATTATAATACAAGAAATCCAGAAAATTACTATGTCGAAAAATGTAAAAATACAGCATTATCTTTTTCTTTTAAATCAAAAGGACCATCAACATGGAACTCTCTTCCTCATTATATTAAAACACTTTCGTTTCTTAATTCTTTTAAATCAAAACTTGAGGTTTTTTTTTATTCACATACTCTACAAAATAATTAATCCAAACTTGTATAACTTTTTAACTCTTTTTTGCAATTATGTCACTTTGCTTTTCTAATCCTTTATCAGTAAAAATTTCGGTATTTTAATAGGCTGGTGATTGCCTCGACAGAACTTTTATTTGGTTCTTTTGCAATTTCCATTTCATGTTCATTATCTATTTCTTTGATTTCTTACTCTTGTCTTTACTTCTCTTTTTAATTGTGTGTTTAAAGTTTAATGTATACTGTGTATCCTACATGTAAATATGTTGTCAATGTACAATGTTTTTCAATGTACTTTTTTGTTAATGGACTTGAATAAAATTGAATTGAATGGAATTGAATTTAGTATTGTTAAACGTAATTACGCCTATCGAATGTATTTCCAACCTTTGAAATTATTACTGTGAAAGAATCAATTGATAAGCTACATCGTAACATATTATGTTTCCTGATGCAACGTACACGTTTGTATTAGGATTCACACCACTGTACTTGATCTATAATAGTGTTAAGTGTTTTTTTAACTTGAATTTCTATGTATAATTTTTTTTATTGGAGATCGATAAATGAAACGGAGGGGTGCCTTTGTAATGTCATGTTTTTTTGTGTGGATATTCTAAAGATCTTACACATCTGCTCTACAAACCAAAAACTATGAGAAACATCCATTCAAAGCACAAGTGAAAACGTATCTGTTGATCTAAAGTTGACTGTCTTTACCTATTAATTAACTGCAGATATATTTTTTTAATGTAACTTGCCTTACATTCCATTGCATATCCACGTTGTTGTACATGTACCTTGATCATTTGTTACGAATAACTGTGCTTTATAAATTCATGTATAGTATTACATGTATGCATGGGAGTAGAAGGCATAATACTATAACAAATTATTTCCTTTCAGATTGGGCAAGCGGTCAGCCAGGCGGCTACGAAAATGAAAACTGTGTAGCACTGGCTAGACGATACAAATGGAATGATGTTCCCTGTAGTCATCGTCGAGGCTTCATCTGTCAGATCGTCTTATAAAAGACCGTGGGTATTTTCCAGTCGCGAGGAATATTCAGGCAAATAATGCACTGATTGAACCAGACTGAAATAAAGAGTACAATTGATGGGGAAAGGCGTGTAAAGTACACTGTTGGTCATAATGGTGGAATAATTATTTTTACCCCAATTTATTGAATAATTTTGACAATGATTTATTCCTAATAGATCTAGATAATATTATATATACATATATGCTAGGGTAAGTCGACGCCCCCACAAAAAGAAAAAAGAATGAATTATTGAAAAATTATTGCATTTTGCCCCGACCCCCAACATAAACAAATCTTCGATGTGGGCATGCCTTTAACCATAATGCATGGCCCTACAGAGGATTTTTTTCCTTTTGGGGACTGGGGGAAAATGCAATGAACATTTATTGCATTTTCTTTTTTTCTTTTTTTTTCTATGTGGGGGCGTCGACGTACCCTAGCCCCCGCTGCGTACAGTCATGATTCATTGGCTAAACAATGACCTCGTAACTGTGAGCCCTCAGGATCAAAACCGTGTCGATGTGCTATATTAGTGCCCTTTTATGAGGTATAAATCCCCATTACTGTCAGTTGTGACTTAAGGACGTAGGTCCCCTAGTTGATTAGCATAGTAGCGCACACATGCTTTAGCAGTCACGCGAAACAAACACTCCCCAATTGTCATTCAATGAAATCTGAGAATGTATACTATTATCTAGATCTATTAGGAATAAATCATTGTCAAAATCATTCAATAAATTGGGGTAAAAATAATTATTCCACCATTATGACCAACAGTGTATATACAAACATCAAATTTGTATTTCTCGAATGTCTCGTCATCATTATCATTTGTTCTTGCATTTAAAGATAAGTTGAGTTCTGATTATGCGAATGCATCGTGAAAGAAGCAGTGTGGAATCGATCAGAAAAAGTTGATCATATAAGTATTGGGGCGTACGTACTGCAAGGTTCTGGAGTCATCAAAATGATAAGAAATTTGGCCCAGTATTGGTAAAGTAACAAGCACTGTACACAGAACGATGTTTATGGAACTACATGAACATATGGTGTAAAAAGTCGGGTCTCTTTTAAAGCTGTTACTTGTCGTATTTAGAATATTAAGGCATTTGAAGAGCCATGCTTTTCAAGGGAAAAAAATTCTCTGATGTTCTTCCGCACTTTTATAGTAGTAACGATAACGCTCACATGTTATATTTTACCTCTCCCGAGAACTCAACCATATCTTTAAGCGTTTTTTTCAGTGTAAATTTACATTCGAAGCTATTGTGCTTCACTCTCATTTTCAAATCATATATTAATCTATTCTTTGTTCAACTCTCTCGGTTAGCGGGATGGTTGATTGTTATTTTTGTTAAAGACAATATCCACCTTATGCATGTAATCTATAAAATATAGTAGTTTTTAATTGTCATTAATACATTCTGATATTTTGTTTACATGAAAGA